AAGGAGACCGGCTGCCTCTCAGCACCACGGCCTGTCAGCAGCCAATCCTCCCCTGGGTCTGTGAAGGCAGGCAGCTGTCCGTCTGGTCGATCACGTCCCCCAATGCCTGAAGTGCCCAGGACAGCATTGGTCTCAGCCCCATTGGCCTCTCCAAACGTGCCAAGGAAGACATGCCATCCCTGTCGGATGGTCCCAGTTCCAACTCCCTCTCCTCCTCCTCCTCCTCCTCCTCCTCCTCCTCCTCCTCCTCCTCCTCCAAACCAGGTTCCGATGGGGCCATGACATTCTTTTTATGATTCTTCATTTCACAACCTTAAGGGCTTGTTTGCCCTTTTTTTAAACAAAACAAAACAAAACACCACCTTCATTATTCATGTATAATTATCATATAATTGGAAAGAATCTTTCCTGTATAAGCTGCACAAAGATAAACTTCCTTTCCTATCGGTGGGTGCATTCCTTGGTTTCTCTGCTGATAGAATTCATACTAATGATCAAACATTCCTACAGTTGTGTCTTTGCCGTGTCCTACAAAAAAATAGTTTGTAACTTGCTTCTAGCTTTGAGATGCATAAATTGCGCACGCAACATGTATTTTTTTCCAGCCAGTCTTCAAGTTGAATACAGGGCAAGTGTCGTATTTAAAAATGGGTTGTGGGTGTGCGGGAAGTCCTCTCCTTTTGTGAAATATTTTGGGAAAAAGAACCCATCCATCCGATGTCTTGGTGTTTGCCGGTAACTTTTAGTCAGTATAAACATTGATTAAACACTATTGTTTCTTTGGTGAATGGAAATACGAATAGACTGTTGTTACCTTGCATAACTTAAACTAACTTCACACACGAATATGCAAACTCCCTAGTGAATTAATTAGCCTCAACTGCTTAAATGTGCATTGCATGAAACAAGATTTATTTTTGATGGGGGGAAGCATGGCAGAGGGCGATGTGTAGATATAATAAACCATGTTAGAACTAACAAGATACCAAAATGTAGAGTTGATAAGTGTTTGTGTAACAGTAACGACCAACTAGAGATTATTCCAAATCCCAGATAAGTTATTGCACAAACGATGAGAAATTGAATCCCTGCGTCCACAGACACTTTTAATACAAGGACCCGTGTGTCAGCTATTTTGAGAATTTTTCTTGCTTTGTCTCTTTGACCCCTTCGAGTGGAAATTCTGGGAACGAAAGTCCAGCCTACCTGGAGGGTGGTTGTGTCCCTTATAAAGTTGTGTCCCTTATAAAATGACCCGAGTCACAATTGCACACTTGTGACAGAAAACTCTGCAGTAGTAACTGAACGGTTACCATTCGGCACAGCTCTTATCTAATGGCCCCCAAGGATGGTCCAGGAGCAACCCCAGATCTTGGCTGATTATCTAGTTTTCAAAGCAACAATATAACAACAGTGTGGGGAAGAAAAACCTTTCTGAATCAGTTCAGAATTCATTTTCACTTGTTAAGCCTGAGCCCCTGGGGGAAAAGATGGCAAAAATAATAATAACGGTGAACAAAATATGGCTGAAATCCTCTCCTCTCTGCCCACTCACTCACCCAGTGTTATTGTTGTGTCTTCAGCATACAGAAGCCTTCAGGCTGTTCTCCATTTTTCACAATTTGCTGGAGAACTACGGCAGGAGGTAGTTATTGTTGCCAGGGCCTTGTTTTGTGCTGTTCCCACTGGTCTTTGATCAAGCTCCATGAAACAGGAGATGCGGTGGGGGGGGGGCGGGGGGGCGGAATAGCTTTTTGTAGCTGCTGGTCATCCAGGAAGAGATTTCTTGCAGCAAGTTTAAATGCCAGAAGGTGTCATTTAGCTGATTGACTTTTCAGCCTTAGTTTCCCTGTGAAAAGGGGGACTGTGGGTCAGACATTTTAGAAAGGGTTCCGTCCCTCTGGAAAGGAAGCAGTACGGTGCCGAGCAGTCAAGCTGAAATGCATTTCTTTGTTCGTATCAGCGTACAAGTTTATTTGGTCTGTTCCAAACTGGGGCATTTGCCATGGGCAGTTGGAAAAAAGTGATTTGCCAAATTGACAATATCACAAACAGAATGGATGGGTGGATTAGAAGGCATCAAGTTATTTTTTTGACTCCTATTGACCACAACAATAGATTTTCTCCGTGATGATCTATCCCCAACACTAACATATTCTGTGAGAGAGAGGGAAGGAAGGGAAAGAAAGGAAGGAAGGGAAAGGAAGAAGGAAGGAAGGGAGAAAGGGAAAAGGAAGGGGAAGGAAGGAAGCAGGAAGGGAGGGAGGGGAGGAAGGGAAAAGGAAGAAGGAAGGAAGCAGGAAGGGAGGAAGGGAAAAGGAAGAAAGGAAGCAGGAAGGAAGGTGGAGGGAAGGAAGGGAAAGAAAGGAAGGAAACAGGAAGGAAGGGAAAGGAAAGGAAAAAGGGAGGGAAGGGAGGGAAAAGGAAGGGAAAGAAAGGAAGGAAGGGAAAGGACGGAAAGAAGGAAGGGGGCGGAGGATAAAGGAGGGAAGGAAGGAAGTGTTTTATGAGATTTTTCAGCGTCATCTTGAGAATACAGGTAGTCTTTGAGTTATGACCATAATGCAGCCTTCCCAGAAGGTCACAAAAGGGGATTGCTTGACTAGTTAGGTAACTGGTTGCAAGTCGAGGACTATTGGTAAACAAAATAGAGCTTGTAGTCCTCAACTTACAACAGATTGCTTAGTGACTGTTTGAAGTTAACAACGACACTTATGACCGTTTTTCACACTTACGACCTTTGCAGCATCCTCATCATGATCATGGGATCAGAATTCAGATGCTTGGCAACTGATTCGTATTTATGATGGTTTCAGGGTCCTGGAGTTATGTGATCCGTTTCTGTGACCTTCTGACAAGCCGAGTCAATAGGAAAGCCTGATTCCCTTAACAGCCATGTTAGTAACTTATCAGCTGCAGTGATTCACTTAACGACTGTGGCAAGAAAGGTCACAAAATCAGGCAAAACTCACTTAACCAATGCTCACTTAACAACAGAAATTTCCGGCTCAATTATGGTTGTAAGTTGAGGACTACCTGTATTTTTATACTCCTGGATGCTAAATCATTAATTGCTCAAAAGTGGAAATCCTTAATCTATTTTTATCATCGAACAATTGGTGTGATTCCATGTGGATAGTTACTGTTCTGAGAAAACTTACTAATAAAATTAGAATATTATCTTCTTAGAAGGACGACTCTCATTTTAATTATCTGTGAAAGATTATACAAGCCGTGCTATTAAGAGTAACAATTCTTAATAAACCTGGTTTTATACATGGAAACTGGTTGAACGTAGAGATACTATTCTTGGAGGTTGTATGCTTGCCTTACAGAATTTTAAAAGTAGAAAATGTAATAGAAATAACATTTATGTTGAAGAGCAAAGCGGAAAACCACCTTGCATTTTATATACACTTCTACTCACCATTTTATTTCGTTTCTTTGAACAAACTGACTTTTCCTCCTTTATTTCTTTGTAGTTCCAAGAGAATTGGTCGAACTGCATCTGAAACTGATGAGGAAGATTGGGAAATCTGTCACAGCAGACCGATGGGAAAAATACTTGATCAAGGTAGAGCGATTTTATATTCCTTTTGAAAATATAAAACTGGGTGATGATGGCTTCGCAGTCTTTAATAATACCCTGCCTAAAGTCATAAATGGCTGTGTGGATTTTGGAGTTAGATTTGTAATCTGAATTGAGCAACCTGTAACACGGGTAAAGGTAAAAAGTTCCCCAAATCCAACTCTAGGGGGCGGTACTGATCTCCCTTTCTTAGCCAAGGGAACCAGCATTGTCCGAAGATACTTCCATGGTCATGTGGCCAGCATGTCTATACACCGAGGTACACAGAATGCTGTTTCCTTCCTATTTATCTATAGAAGAGCAACAAAGATGGTTAGGGGACTGGAAGCTAAAACATATAAAGAACGGTTGCTGGAACGGTTTAGTTTGGTGAAAAAGAAAGACTAGGGGAGACATGATAGCACTGGTCCAATATCTAGTTTGATGAAAAAGAAGGACTAGGGGAGACATGATAGCACTGGTCCAATATCTCAGGGGCTGCCACAAAGAAGAGGAAGAAGTCAAGCTATTCTCCAAAGCAACCGAAGGCAGGAAAAGAAGCAATGGGTGGAAACTAATCAAGGAGAGAAGCAACTTAGAACTAAATTTCCTGACAGTGAAAACAATTAACCAGTGGAACGACTTTGCCTCCAGAAGTTGTGGTTGCTCCAACACTGGAAGCTTTTAAGAAGAGATTGGATAACCCTTTGTCTGAAGTGGTGTAGGGTTTCCTGCCTAGGCAGGGGGGTTGGACTAGAAGACCTCCAAGGTCCCTTCCAACTCTGTTATTGTATTGTATTGCATTGCATTCTATATCTATTCTAGGTTGTCTGAAGTAGTGTAGGGTTTCCTGTCTAAACCGGGGGTTGGACTAGAAGACCTCCAAGATCCCTTCCAACTCTGTTATTCTATTCTATATCTATACCTATTTATCTACTCGCATATGCATTTTTTGTCGAACTGCTAGGCGGGCAAACCTGGGACATGTCATGGCCGCTCACCCCACTGCTCAGATCTCGAACCCAGGCAGTCAGCTTCCTGGCTGACAAGCTCAGCGTCTTTAACCACTGAGCCATCGTGTCCCACATGCTGGTAACATATATAGGTAGTCCTCAGCTTACGACCACAATCGAAACCCAACATTGCCCTTGTTAAGTGAGACATTTGTTGAGTGAGTTTTGCCCTGTTTTACAACCTTTGTTACTGCAATTGTTCAGTGAATCACTGCAGTTGATAAGTTAGTAACCGGGTTGTTAAGTGAATCTGGCTGCCCCCCCCCACTTGTCAGAAGGTCGCAAAAGGGGATTCCCATGACCTTGGGCCACAGCAAGGGTCATAAGTGTGAACCAGTGGCCAAGCTTCTGAATTTTGGTCACATGATCCTGGGGATGCTACAAAGGTCGTAAGTGTGAAATACGGTCATAAGTAATTTTTTTCAGTGCTGTTGTAACTACTACTTTTTCAAAATAAATTTTATTAATGAAACAACAGAAAGAAAAACATTTTTAAAAAATGAACGTGGTGCATACATCCCGACACACCTACTTGTCTTACATCCTCAAATAATACATATAACAGAAAGCACAAATTTACATATATACATAAATATTCATCGTCATTGATACATTTACTCCTTTCTTTTTTAAAGCAGTGGTAAAACTTCTCCCAGATTTTATAATAATCAGATTCAGTCCTATCGTTTGACTCTTGAGTTACTCTATCCATTTTGGCGCACATCCAAATTTTTCTAATTATTTCCATCTTGTCTGGCATATCATTACCTTTCCATCTTTGGGCAAGGGCTAATCTCGCAGCAGTGGTGACATGGGCTATTAAATATATTATCTCTTTATTATATTTTAGTGCTGTTGTAACTTCGAGAGGTCACTAAATGAACTGTTGTAAAGTCGAGGACTCCCTGTATGTCTGTGAAGTGACTGCCTGCGATTTAAAATACCTCGCTCTGTGCTTTACTCACATAGATGGCAGCACCTAGCATGTCTCATCTGATAGATAGGATTGGACTGGCTCAGCCATTGGACAAGAACCACCAGGAAATGCCAGGCCTGCAGACCGGGAAGTCAGAAGTCATCCCAGAAAAAGGAAATGGCAAAACATTTCTCTATTTCTGCCAAGAAAAACATGTGGACCTAGGATTGCAGGCCTGAAGTCACTAAGGAGTTGAGCTCAACCCCAAAGAGAGTTTGATTTTATCCAGTATGGGGAAAAAACTGCAAATGGTTCCCCACTTTTTTGAGATAGTAAGGACTGGAGCGTAAATCACTTCGCCCAGTTAAAGGTCACGTCAGTGAGAGTTTTAGTAGCGCACAGATTATTATAAGTCCGTGGTGGCTAACCTTTTTGGGCTCCTGTGCTGAAAATTGCGCTCGTGCGCACCAGCACCCAGAAGGCAATGCGCGCCCCCACCAGCCCCCTGCGCATGCGATGCCCCCATGTGCAGGTGTGCGCATCTTCTGCGTACTCCTGCCCCCCCGCACATGCGCACCAGATACCCGACAATCAGCTGTCGGGTGGGCAGCGCATACGCAGTGGGGCTCTTCTGGGTGACCTCTCATGTGCTGGCAGAAGTGGCCCTGCCTGCCACTTCTGGCAGGTGTGCCATAAATTCCCCATCACGGCTATAAGTTGTTGTGAGTCACTGGAGACTATTAGCAGCATTAAAATTTGATCAATACAAATCAACTAGGGGTATGCCAGCGACTCAATCTCTCCTTCAGCTCCAGTCCTGATTCCTGCTTTCTTTCCAGAGACACCCAAAAGTACAATTGGATCTGACAGGAATGTATCTGTGTGTGTGTGTGTGTGCTTGCAGTGGCGGAAAAGATTCCCCCGTATTTAACTTGAAAGTTTTGCCTCGTAGATGTGTCAAGACTTCAACAGCACCTGGGCGTGGGAGATGGAGAAGAAAGGATACCTTGACATGAGCACTGAATGCAAATTGGGGATTTTGAAGGTATTGCTCTTCTACTCTGCAGTGCTCTTTCCCTACTCCGTTTGCAAGCTACGACAAATAGAAACAGGAGCCCCCCCCCCCCCCACAAGTTGCAGCTACTTTAAAAAAGGGCCCATTCTAAAGTTTAAGACAATTCACCCCGGCCAACTCGCCACCGAACAGCTCGCTACAGGACAAGAACTTACCCTAACATTAAAGAAATAGTGGAATAGAATCATTAAAGAAAGAAGGGAAAAGGAGGGACAGAATGCAGTGCAAATGGCAAAAAAATTAATATTTTTTTTTTAAATTTATTTTAAATAATGAAATAGAATTGTTAAATTGTCCTGCAGCAAGTTGTCTCACGGTGAGTTGGCCGCGGCGAGTTGCCCCATTCCGTTCTAAAGCCATGTCTTCTGAATCGTTTTGAATAGTGCGCCACTCTATGGAACATGGACAAATGGACCACCATTTTATCTGAAGTGGTGTAGGGTTTCCTGCCTAAGCAGGGGGTTGGACTAGAAGACCTCCAAGGTCCCTTCCAACTCTATATTCTACATGTTCGTTCTAAACTAGAAAAATAGCATATGAACTTGAAGTGGCCCATAAAAGACACAAGGAAATAAAAATACAGGATTTAAGATCACAATTGAGTCTCATATTTCTGTTGCTAAGCGAGACAGTTGTTAAACAAGTTTTGCCCTATTTTACGGCCTTCCTTGCCACAATTGTTCAGTGAATCTCTGCAGCTGTTAAAGTTAGTGACACAGTTGTTAAGCGAAGCTGGCTTCCCTTGTTGACTTCGCTGGCCAGAAGGGGATCATATGACGCCCGGACGCTGCAACCATCATTAATGTGAACCAGTTGCAATAATACAAATTTTGATCACAGGGGATGCTGCAACGGTCCTAAAGGTGCAAAACGGTCATAAGTCACTTTTTCCAGTGCCGTGATAACTTTGAACAGTCACTAAACGAACTGTTGTAAGTCAAGGACTGCCTGTCACTGAGAGTCTTGTATTGTTTGAAGGTGACATGAAACTACCTTCTATGGGAGTGCCTCCCCCCCAACCTTTTGGGCACCACGGAACGTAGATGTTTGCTGACCCCTAAAGTATTGATACAGGTAATCCCTGAGTTACAACCATAATGGACCTCAGAATTTCCGTTGTAAGTCATGACAGTTGTAAGTTGAGGCACCTGTGTGACCAGACTTGATTTTATGACTTTTTTTTTTGCAATGGTTTGGTCATTAAGTGAACACGAGTTGTTAAATGAAAGCAGCAGTCATTAAGCGAACACAATGTTTGTTAAGCAGATCAATGTATTCCTATGGGTATTTTTTGCTGGAAACTGGCTGAAAAGACCAGAAATCTGCAAAAAAAAAACAAAAAAAAACCTATCAGAAATTTTGGTCACGTCACTGCAGAATCCCACAACTAACCATAAGGATGAGCCAGGTCCCAAGCACCCGGAAATGCGACCCTTATGTGACCGTAATGTGCAGCCATCAGAACTCTGGAACCCCGGGTCATAATTAGCTTTTGGGGACTCCGTGATAACTTCGAGCGGTTGCTAAAGCAACCAGTTATAAGTCGAGGACAACCCGAGGTACGTTGAAAAACGTACTTTGGCTCTTCCTGAAAATATTTTAAAGCCCTGCTGCTCTTTTTCCCTTCCCGTCTCTCCTGAAGTACCTTTGCGAATGCCAGTTTGATGACAATCTAAAGTTTAAGAACATCATCAACGAGGAAGATGCCGACGGCATGCGCCTCCAGCCCCTCGGCCGAGACAAAGATGGCTTGACCTACTGGTACCAGCTGGACCAAGAGCATAACGTCAGAATGTACGTAGAAGAGCAGGACGATCAAGACGGATCATCGTGGAAGTGCATCGTCAGGTAAATGTTCATTTCTGGCTGCTTGGTGTTCATTTGGTGCCCCTCAAGCTTGCTGTCCCAATGGTGCTTTTTTTTTCCAAAAGGCAAATGGACTTCGTTTTCCCCTGAAGACGTTTCGCTTCTCATCCAAGAAGCTTCATTGGTTCTGACTGAATAGTGGAGGGTGGAAGGATTTATATTCCTTGCAGCCATCCAGTCGTGTAGCCTGCGATTTTTCTGGGAATCTGTTCCTACTCCCAACACCATTTGTAGGGTATTCATCAGAGGTGGGTTTTCAGCAGGTTCTGACCAGTTCTGGAGAACCGGTAACGGAAATTTTGAGTAGTTCGGAGAACCGGCAAATCCTGCCTCTGACTGGCCCCGCCCCCACCTATTCTCCGCCTCCCGAGTCCCAGCTGATTGGCTGGGTCTTCTTTGGTTGCCCTGCACAGGAGAACGGAGCTGGAAAGCAGGTCAATGGGGTGGGGAGGGAATGGGGATTTTGCAGTATCCTTCCCCTGCCATGCCCACCAAGCCATGCCCACAGAACCGGTAGTAAAAACTTTGGAATCCCACCACTGGTATTCACCCCTGTATAATAACAACACTAGATTAATGTAGCAACTTTTAAGATTGGCCGTATTAAAAATTCGAATAGATATAAAATTTTAGAAATGGGGGGACTTTGTTATACATACCATTATTCAATATGTATATGAAGTAAATATTAAAGCTTAAGATCAGAATTTGAAAAAGAGGTAGGTATGCTCAAAAATAAAAGTTATTACTATTAGAAGAATGTAGCGAATATTAATAATTGAAAAATGAAGGACTAAATGCTGATACAGGTATGTACAACAACATTAAGACTACATAAACGGGACTAATTTAGTAATGTTTTCTGTATTATTGCTTTTGTATCAAAATGATGACACTCAGATTCCACACTGTTCACGAAATGATATTGATGTAGGTTTTTTTTTTTTTAAAAAAAAACTTGACAAAAAAAAAGAAGGGTGTTCACCCCCAAAGAGCATAGCTAAATGTCTGTGAAGATTCTCAGTCATCCAGGTTGTCCCAAAGGTGCTTTTTCAAGAGGCATCTGGACTTCGTTTTTCCTTGAAGACGTTTCGCTTCTCATCCAAGAAGCATCTTCGGTTCTGACTGAATGATGGAGGATGGAAGGATTTATGTTCCTTACACTCTGGTCGTCAGCAAGGAAAGTTGGTCATTTATTCAAGGAAAAAAACAAAATCCAGATGCCTTTTGAAAAAGCACCTGTCAGCGTTCCAGAAAACCTCAACTCCTAACAAATAACCATGGGATAACCATGGCCTGGATGACTGAGAATCTCCATACATACCACTTAAGCTTGCTGTGCAAGGCTGGGTGTTAAATCTAGTGTATTTGGAGGGCATCAGGTTGGGGAATAATGTTTTTTTTAAAAAAAAAAAATAAGACAACCAGCAAGCCAGGCCATACTCAGTTAATTTTCCAAAGAGAATAACTATGATTTCCCAAAACTCTGCCTGCAGTATGGTTAGAAATTCTTCACAACTGCCTCTTAGCTCCTGTTTAGGTCTGTAACATGATATAGTCCTTTACATGGGGGGGGGGGGGGGAGAATTTAACCCTTACTAAATTAGGGTTTAAAATATAGCCAGGGATGCAGGCTTTTCCCATCGGCTGGAGAGTGAATTCTGATTCTTGCTCTGATTACCGTAAATGTTTGAGGTTCAAAATATTGTATCCTACTAAACACGCAAGTACATCTGAGAAATCGATCTGTTTCTACTTGGAAACCCCTTCTGGACTTTGTGCTTGAGGTGGAAAAAAAATGAAACTTTGATTTTGGGTTTTACTGATTAGATTGATTTATTGTTATAGAAATGGCTCGTTTATACTATTTTGTAAAAGTAAAAAGTTGAGGTTTGGTGTTATTATTTTATTATACTGCACCTAAGGGAGTCAGAAGTCAACACCTTTTTTTCTCTTTTTTTCCCCTTGTTTTCTACACTTTCCCCCTTCCCCTTTGCTTCCCCTATTTTTCCTACTATTTGCCTTTATTTTTTTGTATTTTGTATCGTAAACTCATAAAATCCCAAAAGTTAATTAGAAAAAAAAAAGCAAAAAAGATCTGAGAAAATGATTGGGATTGATGCAACCCTTAATAATGGTTCCAGATCAGGGTTTCTTAACTTCCGCAGCTTTTTAAAAGATGTGTGGACTCCAGATCCCAGAATTCCCCACTCAGTTGAGGTGGAGAAGTTACCCCAGATGGGAAACACAGATCTAGATTTTTTTAAAAAAACCAGAGATAATCCGTTGTGTTTCCCAAGCCGGATATTTTCTCTTCCTCTTCCCTTGCTTGCAAAGGCTGGCAAGGAACTGCAGTAGCACAATTATGTAAGGTTGCTGTTTTTCTGAGGTTTGGTGCGTGTCTTATTTTTCATCCAGAAGCCGAAATGAGCTGGCTGAAACTCTTGAGCTCCTGAAAGCACAAATTGATCCCGCACTGTTGAAAAACCAGGATAACTCTTTGCAAGAGAGTCCAAGCACTGAAGATGAAGAGGCCAAAAAGAGGGAAGGCACAGCGATGCCAGGTTGGAATATTGTTATTATCTTGCCAGTGGGCAGTCTGTGTTACCATTTTACTCCTCTGGAGAATTGGCACTCGAGCCACAACTCTGGGTAGTGAAGGTCCATAATAAACGTCCTTCAAAGGGCCTATTGTTGGATTCTTCTTCACGTCTTAGGTTTCAAAACCTTGGCTAACTTGACTTTTAATTGTTGCAGAACCAAAGTTATTTGGAAGTTGAATTCAGCTCACAGAAACATAACTCTGCCTTTTCTTCTGATGTGGACAAACGTCTTCCAAGAGGAATACATTTCTGAAGGCTCTTGTGTGTAAAAGTGCAAACTACCCAAAGCCTTGTTTCAGAGACAGGTGCAGGACGAGGCCTTCTGGGTCACACTGTTGGCATACCCATGTTTGTTTGTTTATCCGTATCAGAAGCATCACAATTAAAATAAGGCAAACTGTGCAAGGTAAAATCTAAAATACAAGATTAAAATATGTACAAGTTAAACAGAACTTGCCCAGAAACTAGTAACATTGTATTCTGTCACACAGCTAGGAAGTTCTTAAGTGTGCACTGATTGGGACACAAACGGCAGGTATACGTAGGTGTTGTTTACATGTCACCACAATTGCAAAGGACCGAAGCCACCGGACAGTCTCATTTGTTCGGAGTATGCTCATAAAGGTTCAGCAAACTACCCACTCCTTCCGATATATGCACAAAAATTCCAGAGCTAATCTTTCTACTTCTGTTCTCTAGAGCAATGTTTTTCAACCTTGGCAAACTTTACAGTGTGTGGAGTTCAACTCCCAGAATTTTTCCTTCTTGTAGAACCTGAGAATGGAGTGTGCAGCGAGGAGGAGGAGGAGGAGGAGGAGGTGGTGGTGGTGGAGGAGGAGGGATCAATGAAGACATGTGTAGAAGAAAAATCTCAACATTATACCAAAATGTCGTTCCTAGGAGTCTCATAGGGGAAGCTATGACATTTGCATCATATGATTAGCGATTCTGCTGTTCTGAGTAAAAGATTATCATTGGAATATATTTTAATCATAATTTTGTTGTCATTTAATTCACTTCCAGAAAGGAACTTTGAAAAATATGGGGGCACAAATGTAGCATCTATCTACAACTCTTTAAAGCAGCTATGTCTTTGCTTGGATTATATGATATATGGGGGCACAGATGTACCACCTATCTGCAACTCATTAAAACAGCTGCATTTCCCCCCTGGATTATATATGGGGACATAGATGTAGCACTTATGACTCTTTAAAGCAACTGCATCTTTTCCCTGGATTGTATATGGAGGCACAGATGTAGCACCTATTTGGAACTTCTTAAAGCAGCTGCGTCTTTTTCCCAAATCATCCCATAGCTGCAGAGGTGAGCCTCACCTTCCTGGGGAAAGTATCAGCTTTAACAAGATGCAGATGGTTGCTGTGGCTGCAGTCCTGTACACATTCTAAGTATCGTTTCTGAATATTTTCCAAATCACTGAACCATCCTGGTAGCATGCATGCTTATGATCTGAGCTGGGTATAATCAGTGCTGATCCTTGTTCTAAATTTATTTTGTCTCTCTCTTTTTTAATTATAAGCAGAAGGCGAATTGAAGGTGAAGGAAGAAAAAAAGGAGCTAGCAGAAGGACTGCCACAGCCCTGCGAAAACCTTCCACCTCCTGCCGCTCTGGCAGAGGAAAAAAAGATCAAAGTAGAGAAAGTGGAAGAGAGAGACATCATAAAGCTCCCCGTTATCGTAAAACTCGGAAAGCCTCCGGAGAACCACGGGGAAGTGCAAACTACCAAAGACGAAAATGACTCGTTCAAAGAGAACGTGAAGCCGGCTAAAGCGGAAGCGAAAGAGAATAAGCCAGAGCCGAAAGACTCCAGAGAGATGAACAGCAATGCCGAGAAAACGGTCCTTGAGCCCGAGAGGATCGAGTTCTGCGTCAGCGTCAAAGCCCCCCAAGACGTGGTGGAGAGAACAGCGGAAGAGAACGAGAAACTTAAAAACGACCAGCAGGCCAAGATCCCCCTGAAAAAACGAGAAATCAAGCTGACCGATGATTTCGACAGCCCCTTGAAAGCGCCCTTGCGGAAATGCATCACGCCGACCAAAGACGTTTCGAAAGAGGAAGGAGGCAAACCCGAGGAGGAGACCTTTAAGAGGGTCCCCACCATCACCGACGGGAAGTTCCTGGTCAACGGGGAAATGGGTTGCGAGAAACTCGTGCCCAATAACCGGTTGGATCGCTCGCCTTGCCCGAGGGAGGAGACCGCCATTCTGCCAAAGGAGAAAAACGGGCTTGGAGAGGAACGGATCCAAGAGGGAGTCAGCACCATCGTCCGGACCAGCGATGTCGAGAGATGCATTTTGCATCCTGCGAAGGAGACCACCGTAGGGGTGATTGTGCCTTTAAGGGAGGAGACCAGCCCCAAAGGGAGCGAAAAACAGCCGGACGCGAAGACGTCGGACGGGGTGGCTGAGGCTCTCTCCAAGGCAGGTGATCCTCCCAAGAAGCTTGAAGACCCTCTCAGAATAAACGACAGCGTGATATGTTCCAAAGACAGCTCGGAAAAACCCTCCAAGCTACCCTCCCCTAAAGAGCCAGTTCTGGTTTCTGATGCCGACGATTTGAAAAAAACAGCTCCTTCAGACGAGAAAACAGCAGCCTCGGCCAGCCCGGATGCAACACCGTCTTCTGTTTCAGTCCTTTCGTTTAAGAAACCCGCGGTGGAAAAAGAAGACTCCGATTCCCAAGTCGCTTTCCCTGATCAAAGGCAAGCGTGCAAAGAGCAGGAGGCGGAAACGCCCAAGGACTCCGAATCCCAAGAAGGAGAGCTGCCGACCACGGACAGCCTCCCAAGTGCCGTCAAGGAACCACCTCCCGAGACGAAGAAAGAATCTGTGAAAACCAAGTGTAAATACAAGCTGATTTCCGAAGAAGAAAGTTCTCTCACCGAGAACAGGGAATTAACCTCTGAGAGGCAGAAAGACGGGATTAAGCTAACGATCCGGATCTCCAGCCGGAAAAAAACCGACCCGCTCCCTGCCAAGTCCTTGAACGCAGCCGCCGGGAAGGAGGAGGAGGTGGTGAGCGTCGGTCGCATTTTAAGGCGGTCCCCCCGGATATCTAAACCGACCCCCAAGGTTGTCGAGACCCGAGATCAGAAATCCGAGAAGAAACGAAGCGAGGAAGAGGACGAAAAAGTGGCTTCCGTGCAAAAGCAGGAGAAGAAAGAAGATTCGAAAAAGCCAGAGAAGGAGACGAACTCTAAAACCCACAAGGTGAAAATTACAGAAGGGCTCAACTACGTCTTTTTTTTTTCCTTGTAAAAAGTTTTTTTTATTTTATGTTTCAAAAAACATCTCTTTTAGGGAACAGCATGTTTCCAGGTTTTCACATTTCCATACAAACATGAGCTTGGCTACCTATTCATCTTTCCCATTTGATTTCATATCCTATCATTACATTTCATATTTTCGATCAATTTTTTCATATATTCTTATATCCTTCAAATTTGTTTTATATATTTTCTATTCCTTTCTTAACTTATTTCTTTTTATTTTAAATAGTTCTCATATCTTCGTATTCATTATGCTTTATATTTTAATGTGTCACATTTGCAATTTCATCGCATATTCTTATTTCCTTATTCCAAAAGTTCCATCTTAATTCTAATAATTCAAAAAGTTTCCCCTTTAATTACTAATTTGAGTGTACCACCCCTTTATCTTATACATCATTGATTGATTGATTGATTGATTTGATTTGATTTGATTTGTCAATCGCTTACAAGATAATAGGTATAAGTGTGAACATGAGTAAGAATACAGAAAATAGGTACGATTAAATTGGGACAATAGGACAGGGACAGGAGGCACGATGGTGCACTTATGCACAGACCTCTTAGGAATGGGGTGAGGTCAATAGTGGATAGTTTGAGGTTAAAGGTGTGGGAGGGTTTGAGGATGTAACAACAGAGTCAGGCAGTGCATTCCAGGCGTTGACCACTCTGTTGCTGAAGTCGTACTTTCTACAGTCAAGTTTGAAGCTGTTTACATTGGGTTTGTATCTGTTGTGTGCTGTTGTATTGTGGTTGAAGCTGAAGTAGTCATTGACTGGTAGGACATTGTAGCAGATAATTTTGTGTGCTACGCTTAAGTCTAACCGTAGGCGGCGTAGTTCAAGGTTGTCCAAGCCCAAAATCTCAAGCCGGGTGGTGTAGGGTATTCTGTTGCGAGCAGAGGAGTGTAGTACTCTTCTCGTGAAATACTTCTGGACTCACTCGATTGTATTAATGTCCGATATGCAGTGTGGATTCCAGACTGATGAGCTGTATTCGAGTATTGGTCTGGCAAAAGTTTTGTATGCTCTAGTTAGCAGTTCGATATTTCCGGAGGAGAAACTTCGTAAGATTAGATTTACAACTCCTCTTTAATTCATAATAACAATTTATAACAATATAGTCACTTTTTAATTATCACCTTAAGAATTAGTAACAATAATCTTCTAATAACTACATAACACAAATACAACATCACCTTTTACGTTTTGGGGAGAGCTGTGAAAAACCCAGGGATGAAAGCAATGTTTTCCTTACCTCCCTCTAGCCCTCATTCCAAGCTATGCATATTAGGATAGTGTTGTTGTTTTTTTAAACAGGTTTTCTCTGTTAGCAATACAGGGAGTCCTCGACCTGCAACATTTTATTTAGCGGCCGTTCCAAGTTATGACAGCCACTGGAAAAAAATAACTTATGACCATCCTTCACAGTTGCAACTGTTGCAGTATTCCCACGGCACATGATCAAAATTGAGGTGTCTCAAGGTCACATGATCCCCTTTTGAAAACCTACTGTTCTGACCCAAGCCTTGTTCAAATTAAACACAAACTGCATAAAAGCAAACCTTTTTTAATGCGGCGCTGGGAATTCTGCATTCCCAGCCAGAAGACATTTAAACTTAATTGTCCGAGATAAAAGCAAGCCCTTTCAAGGTTGCAAAAGGCTGCCAAGAACAGAAGTCTAATTGCTGATAAATATCCAACGACAGAAGTTTCAAAAACAAACCGGAGTAAGCAGGGCTTCAACAAGGGCTCTTGAGTCTAAAGAATGTCTTTGCTTCCTGCAAAGAATACATCCCCGAGGGCTGGTTTTTATCCCTTATGGGAGGGGCCATCACCTTCCAGCCTTACTCCCGAGTTGCCCGTGCTGCTGCAGCTGCTCTTTGCTTCGAGCAGCCCTACACACATCGGGCACTGGCATCACCGCATCACTGCTGCCAGACTCCATAAGCTCCCAAGGCAGCACCCACTCTCCGATAGTCCTGGCTTCATCCCCACATCACAAGCAGGCCCCTCGTCTGAGTCCTCGCTATTGGAGACCTCTGCCGTCGGCACCTGCTGCCGGTGAACCACAACACTTTCTGATGAGCCAAGTCAGTGGGAAGCCAGCCCCACTTAACAATTTTTAATACAGATAGAATCCTCGACTTGCCATTACAATTGAGCCCCAAATGTTCTGTTCCTATGACCATCGTTAAGTGAATTTTGCCACATTTTTACCACTTCTTGCCACGGTTGTTTAGTGAGTCACTGCAGTTGTTCAGTTAGTAACGTGGTTGAGTGAATCTGGCTTCCCCGTTGCCTTTGCGGATCAGAAAGTTGCAAAAGAGGATCCTGTGGCCTTCCGGGACATGGCGGCTGTCCTAACTATGAGTCAGCTTCTGAATTTTGATCCACGTGTCCATGGGGAATGCCACACAGGTCGTGTGAAAAACGGCCCAAAGTCCCTTTTTCGATGCTGTGGTGATTTTGAACAATCGCTAAAACGGACTGTTGTAAGTCTAGGACCAGCTGTACTGAAAAAGGTCACACTTGCTGGTGACCTGTGGTGAGCTCGGGATGGGGTGGTTCGTCCATCTGGCTTCTCCGTGCTCTCGTGTCAACTTTCAATATTACCAGGATGCAAGGAGCCAGCTTTAGTCTGGCCAGATTCTGTCCGTAGGCGAGGAACTATAAAGGGAACCGCTGAGAGGTTACTACTCTGTGTAGCTATCTTGGTTTTCAGAGCCTGACAGTGAGTAATTTACAATGGAAGCAGAAGCTTTCCCTCGCCTTTTTGCAGTTTTGCTGTGAGTATGTGTAGAACTGCCATTTGGTAACAAAAAAAGAGAAAACATTGCTTATTTATTTAAGTTAATAAAAGCCAGTTTGGTCTAGTGGTTAAGAAACCAGGAGGCGTTGAGCTCTAGTTTTGCCTTAGTCACTAAAGCCAACTGGGCAACAAATCATCAGGTGATGATGAGTTCTAGTCCGGCCTTAGGCATGAAAGCCAGCTAGATGCCTTTGGACAAATGACCAGGTGACAGTGAGTTCTAATCCCACCTTAGACATGCAAGCTGACTAGGCAACTTTGGGCAAATGGCTAGGTGACAATGAGTTCTAGTCCCACCTTAGGCATGAAAGCTGGCTGGGGGACTTTGGGTCAGTCACCAGGTGACAATGAGTTCTGGTCCCATCTTAGACATGTAAGCTGGCTAGGTGACTTGCCCAATTACCAGGAGACAGTGAGTTCTAGTCCTGCCTGACAGCAAACTGGCTGACTTAACCAATCACCTGTGAGTTCTAATCCTGCTTTAGGCATGAAAGCTGTCTGAGTCACCTTGGGCTAGTCACTCACTCTTAGTCCAACTTACCTCACAGGGTGGTTGTTGTCAGGAAAATAGATGGAGGAAGGAGTCTTCGGTATGGTCACCACCTTGAGTTATTGATAAAAAATAATAAAGGCGGGATATAGAATAAATAACTCAGTACATCCAGCCACCAATCGGGTAGCTTCGCGTAGCACTATGAGGTAAAGCGGTTGTTGAGGTAATTCCCCGTTAGGAGAATGAGCGCATACAGGGAGACGTATAGAGAGTAGTGTTGGAATAATACACACAGAGCACACAGATACACTGTGCAGTAAATGTAGGTTTTTACTTCCAGAAAGGTTTAAGCAAAGTCCAAAATAAGCAGTCCAAAAGTCATTTACAGGTAAATCAGTCAGTTTTTCAATCCAGGGATAATCCAAATATCAAATTCCAGTGTCAAAAACAGTTCAGTATCAGACTTACATTAAATCCAGTAATATCAGTCAGTTAGAAGAAATGGAGCAACGGCAATACTTTCCAACAGAAGGAAACAGAGATAATCACTCAGACACACTCTCTTCTGAGACTAAGACTAAACAACCCAGGTTTCTGGCTCCATCTTATGGCTGTTTGAGAAACCACACCCAATTACAGTTTTGCATTTTCTTAAAGATATAGTACTAAAATGTTTATCCTGGCTTATATATTTCTAACCCAAATACCTGTTAGGTGACTTATATTCCTAACAGCGGTTTTCTAGTCACAGCCTAAATGGAGCCATCGTCGTGGTTTTACTTACACTGTGATTTTGGTGCTTGCTGGGTTTTTTGCTTTTCCTTAGAGATGTTAGAGCGTGCTTAGTACCCCCTGAGATATTCAGACAGCTGCAAAGGAGAGGTACGTGCTCCGTGACCTGGAAAACATCTGGAGCCGTTGCCACGGCCGTCGTTTATGGCTAGGATGTCTTAACGAGCTGAGAAGTTTTTTTCTTATTGCTGAATCCCCAGGCTTCCCGGCGAAGTAAAGTCCGATGGGCTGGCACCCGAACGCGTGGCCGTTGGAGATACTCGAGCAATGATGATAGCGAAGGTTCTGAGCACGAAGAGGGGGAAGAGGAGGAGGAAGAAGAGGAGGAGGAGGAAGAGGAGGAGGAAGAACCAGCCCCTGCGGATGATGACGAACCATGCAAGAAGTGCGGCCTTCCTAATCACCCAGAGCTGGTAGGTTCTTGGGTCAAAGTTAGCAAATGAGGGTCGGGTTTCCAAGGGACGAAATCCATTTAAAAAGAAAAGACTCCATCTTCCATAACAATGTTTTTATTTAGGAAAGCATCAAATTGGCAAAGTCTGTTGTAATTCCGGATCTGACACAACCTGGAATTACACCACGTAATACTGGAAATTAGAAACAACCCCCAAAAGTCACATTCCCCGATAGAAGTAAATGAACGTTGCCTGGTGTCATCAATCTCTATTTCCAGACCTCAGCAGGGTCAGCTTTTGTTCCCACGAGAAGGAGAACCACCTAGCCTAAACAACTCTCTCTATCTCCACTCCTCCCACCTTACGAATGTGGCAAGCCGGAAACCCTTCCCCCCTGTAACCAACAAAGAGAAGGAAAGAAAAGGAATATATAATAAGGCAAAATAAAATGGCTACACATATGTCAATTTCGGGCTTGACAATGAGATTCACTCATATATTTAATCATACACGTAACAACTGCAGCTAGAATCATATCCGCGCAAAATTGGAAAAGTGAAAGTACACCCACAGATGAGGAAGTAGTAAAAAAAAATACTAGAATGTACCGAACAATGGAACTTTAAGGACAAAGAGGAAAAAGAATATTATCTAACACGGGATGTATTGTATGATTGGATAAATAATAGATGCAGAGATTAGTATTTAACCATGAAAGAAGATTAACAAAACAGAAAACAAATACAGATATATTGAAATAAAAATAAAAATAAACAATGTAAGCAATACCACTAAGTGGATTGTATGTGAATATAGTTTAAAATGCACAGAATGAGAAAATGAGATTCACAAAGATCTCAAGGGAAATACCACTGGATTATGGCTGGTCAGCCATGCTTTTGTCCGATCTTTGAAGACTTGGGGATTTCAACTCAGGGGTGGAATTCTACCGGTTCGGCCCGGTTTGGGAGAACTGGTAGCTCCAAAGATAAAGGTATTTCCTTCCTGCCCTCCCACCGATCAGCTGTTTTCCGAAGATCAGCTGTGCCGCGCGATTTAGATGAGCTAGAAAGCAGGATTTCTTTCTTTCTAGCTAATCTAAATCGTGTGGCACAGCTGATCCCCCTCAACTGTTGTATTGCTTCACCCAGCAGGCTTCTCTGAGGCCCAGTAGGCAAAAAAACAAACAAACCCATGCCTACCCAGTCACATGACCACCTGGCCATGACCACGGAACCGGTACTTAAATTTTTTTTGCATCTCATCCCTGCTTCAACTCCCAGAATTCCCCAGCCAGCATTGGAATAGTTTGAACAAGCTGGATGGGGCAGAATCTTCTGTCACTTGTTCAAAGGGGTCATTAGAGAAATCAGATCAAGCAATCCAATTCCAGAATGGCCCTTATTGCCTTGGATCAGGGGTGTCAAACTCAAGGGTGCTTAAATCTGGCCCATGGGGCAGGCCTGGAAATATCAAAAGAGTGGACCACGGTGCCTCTGCCGGCCAAAACGGATCGCGTAGGCCCTCCGCGCAGACAGTTTTCAGCCGGCAAGTGTGCTGCAGGAAGACTGGATTGGATTACAATGATGTGGCCTCCAGCAAGTGCCTGATCTGGATAGAAAACAAGCAACACCCGATGTCAAGGGTCTTCCAACTTGGCAAGTTTAAGACTTGTGGATTTCAACTCCCAGAATTCCTGAGCTAACATGACTGGAGGAGGAATTCTGGGAGTTGAAGTCCACCAGTCTTAAAGCTGTCAAGTTTGAAGGCCCCTTGCCCTATGTTAATACTACAGTTCATTGCCAGTTTTCACATCCTGTAGGTCCAGTTAATCTACCATCAACCATCTATAATTGACAGCCGTTTCTATTTACTATCCTGGAAATTCATCCCTACTATTAGATCTTGTATTATCCTGTTATTTATCCTATTGTGTTTTTCATTAGTTGAATAATAAAAATACAATAGTATCAATAGGTTTTTCTGCCTGGAAAAGCAATTTACTATTAAACAATACGGTATAAATTTGGAAATAAAAAGTTTAGTAGAGTATGAAGAATAAGTAATGAATGCTTGCCCCGTAATAGCTGGTAGAAGAGTTTGGTTTGTTCCACAGATTCTTTTGTGCGATTCCTGTGACAGTGGCTACCACACGGCGTGTCTTCGGCCTCCGCTGATGATCATTCCAGATGGCGAGTGGTTCTGCCCACCTTGTCAACATGTGAGTTTTCGTTTGGATTTATTTTCCTTATCCCACTCCTTCGTCTTTTAGAAGTGGTTGGGTGGTTCGTCCCTCTGGGCTCTTTTCAAACTCTTTGGCAATTTTTAACGCACGTAGTCCTTGACTTAAGCAGTCACAGTGGAGCCCACATTTTCCGTTCCTAAATGAGACAGTTGTTCAGTGAGTTTTGCCCCATTTTACGACCTTCCTTGCCACAGTTGTTAAGTGAATCCTGAACTGTTCTGACCAAGGCTTCCGAGACTGTAATTATGCACACGCTTATTTTAAAAACAAGTCTTGTTTATTGCAGTGCTGGGAATTATTTTCATTCCCAACCGGTAATGACTCTCAGACAGTCCCTCGAGATAAGCACCCACCTTTCTTCCCTGTGAAGTGCTGCCAATAACAGAAATGTCCAATGAACTAGAAAAGAAATCAACCGAAGAGCTTCAAGAATGAATCCGAACCGAACGAACGACTTTGCTTCCTGCAAAGGTTTCTTCGCCTTTGCCTGTCCTTTATACCTTATGGGAGGCACAATCACCTCCCAGCCCTGCTCCCGAGTCGCCCCTTTTGTCTCAGCTGCTCTCGCCTTCTAGCAGCTCTGCGCACACGCGCACTGGGAACAGGCTCCCCTGGGTCCTCTGCCTCGCTGCTGCCAGGCTCCGGAGTCAGCACCCCACTCCCAGATAGTCCTGGCCCCATCTCTGCATTGGATGCAGGACCCTTGCCCAAGTCCTCTTCAGACTCCCGGACTGGTCCCCATTCTTCCCCACTGTCCAATTCTGCTGCCGGCTGCCGGCTAACCACAACAGCAACACGGTCATTAGATGAACAGATAATCAGAGTTGGAAGGGACCTTGTAGGTCATCTAGTCCAACCGCCCGCCCAAGCGGGAGACCCTACACCATTTCTGACAAATGGCAGTCCAATCTCTTCTTGAAAGTCTCAAGTGATGCAGCTCCCACAAAGTGAATCTGGCTTCCCCATTGACTTCGCTTGTCAGAAGTTTGCAAAAGGGGATCCCGTGACCCTGGAGCCCTGAAACCGTCATAAATATGAGTCAGTTGGCAAGCACATGAATTTTGATTACAGGGCCATGGGAATACTGCAATGGTCTTAAGTATGAAAAACAGCCACAAGTCACTTTTTTTCAGTGCTGCTGTAATTTGAATAGTCAATAAACAAACTGTTCTAACTTGAGTCTGAACAAACTCTTGGCAGCTTACAGTCAGGAATAAAATCCAGAAAATGATACGGAAGCCAAATACTGAAAAACCCACTAATGACTATTAGGGTACTTAATGCCCAAAACATCTTCCAAAAGAGTCCCATCTTCTTTCAAATGTCAGATATTGTTGGATTTAAATCTTAGAAAGGCCAGGTCACTACTGAAAGACATGGAAGAGATTGTAACGTTTTGTCTTGGAACATTTCCTGATGCAGCGCATTAATTTGTAATTTTTTTTCATTGTACTAAGTTATGTGTTTTTCCAGGTAAATTGGAAGCAGCTACTATATCATAAGAACATTTTCCTTTATGTCCTGGGGACAAATTGCCTCAACATTAATCAGGGTTAATCTTGAATTCGTACAGTTATGTGTAATTTGTGGCAGGTTCTCGGCACCTTCTGAACTTTTCCTTTACATCTTAAAAGCATTATACATATTACATATTTTTTTTAAATTACTTCTTCCTAATCATCTGTTTTTCTGGAATAGACAGAATTTCTGAAAACAGAGCTTTGGGGATAAGGGGTTCCTAAATTGCAAGACCAGGTCTAAAAATAAATTGGAACTTAGCGGCAGGCATGGAATGCATTTCAAAACGTTTTATTTAGACTTTTCCAAATGTCCTTGCCTTTATTTTGGCATTCAGATCCATTCTTTCCTCTCATACAGGCAGTCCTCGACTTATGACCACAATTGAGCGCAAAATTTCTGTGGCTAAGCAAGGCGGTTGTTGAGTGAGTTTTGCCTTCTTTTGCAACCTCTCTTGCCACAGCTGTTAAAGTGAATCACTGCAGTCATTAAGTGAGTTACACGGTTGTGAAGGAAATCTGGCTTCCCATTGAGTTTGCTTCTCAGGAGGTCTCCAAGAGGGGATTACCTGATCCCAGGGACACTGCAACCGTCATAAATACATGCCTGTTGCCAAGCGTCTGAATTATAATCACGTGACCCTGGGGAGCCTGCAACGGCCGTAAGTGTGGAAAACGGTCATAAGTCACTTTTCCCCAGTGCTATTGTAACTTCAAAGGGTCACTAAATGAATGATTGTAGGTCGAGGATTACCTGTATTGCTGTTAGTAGCTATTACTTTGAACAGGGCTTGGGAACGGGCCTGCTAAGAGTCTGAGGTATTTTTAAATTATGCTAATGCAGTAGCATTATTTTCTTTTAATCCCACAGAAATTGCTCTGTGAGAAGTTAGAAGAACAGCTGCAGGACCTGGACGTGGTGTTGAAAAAGAAAGAGCGTGCAGAACGAAGGTATCATCATATTAATTGTATTTCATGACCCCATAATCCCTTGCGGGGTGGAGTCTGGGGAACCGAATGGAGCTGAGAGTTTCCTGGCCGGATACCCTTCCTGTCACCAATGCGTTGTTTTGTTCAGCGGATACATTCTCATTGTGCCCAGAGAGAGAAATATCTGCCTCTCTCACAACCTCCTGATTGTCATCCTATTCATTGTATGATCCTAGTCAGATCAGTACAAAAAGCTTGATTATCCTTTTTAAAAAGGCGTGGATATACCAGAGAGTTGCAAAATTTGTCGGTTCAAACACTGGACAGTTTGGAGAAACCCTGGCATTTTGTTACTGCTCCAAAGGATTGCAGAAGCTTGCTTTTCCATTGGACCATGCTAAATCTCTCCTGGACCATAAATAGCCTTTTTTTGTATGTTTTTCTCTCTCTCTCTCTCTCCAAGGAAGGAACGTCTTGTCTACGTGGGCATTAGCATAGAGAACATCATTCCTCCGCGGGTAAGCGAAACGGATCTCGTGATTTCTTCAGACATGATATTCTTCCGATTAAAATTGGAATTCTGATTTTTTTGGGAATCGCCCCCCCTTTCCCCCCCTTCTTCTCCTCCTTCCCCTCCCCTCGGAGACCCCGAGTCAGGAGTTGCTACCGCTGGCACGGCTCTGCGTGGCTCCAGTCCCGCGTTGCCTCAGGAAGGGAAAGGCAAAAAGGAAGAGCCGCGGCGGCGCTTTGCAACGGCAGCAGCGGCTCCTGGTTTTGCCTTTCCCTTCCCGAGGCAACGCGGGACTGGAGCCGCGCGGAGCCGCGCCGGCGGTAGCAACTCCTGACAGCCCCAGCTGGATACCTGAGCGGAGCCCGGGCGGTGCAAGCGGAGCCCGCTGAGCGGCAGGAAAAGGGAGCTGGGCAGCGATTTCTTGGCGCGCGGTGGGGGGGTCTCTTTTGGCCGGCCCCGATTTTTTTTTCAGAGGGGAATATCATGCCTGTTTCTTTTGAGTTCACGACCTATACTGCTGAAAAACATTAAAAAAAAAAATCTAGCTGGGGAAAAAGCAGAACTGGCTTCGTCGGTATTAGTTGTAGGTATTTGCCTCCTTGTTTTTTATTTATTTATTCTTCTAAAATATTTGGTTTGCGCTATTTGGGTTGGGAGTTAGCACGATGGCTCGCCGGTTAAAAGCTGCTGAACTTCGGTTCGAGTCCCGAGCACTGCATAACAAGGTGAGCTCCTGTTACGGGTAGTTCCTTGACTTACAACCACAATTGAGCCCAAAATTTATGTGGTGAAAGTGAGGCATTTATTAAGGGAATTCTGCCCCTTTTTACAACTTTCCTTGCTATAGTTGTTAAGTGAATCATTGCAGTTCTTAAATTAGTGACTGTTGTGGTTAGCCGGCAGCAAGTGCGGACGGCTGAGGAGAGCGAGGACTCAGATGAGGGGCCAGGACCATTAGGGAGTGGACTGCTGCCTTCAGAGATTGTGGGGGCTGGCAGCAGTGATGAGGAGGTTCCCGAGGAGCCTGTGCCAAGTGCACGTGCGCACAGGGCTGCTCGCAGGAAAGAGCAGCTGCAACAGCACAGGTGATTCAGGAGTAAGGCTGCAAGGTAATGGCCCCTCCTTCAAGAAGATAAAAGCCAGCTGTGAAACGAACCTTCTTTGCAGAAGGCAAAGACGTTTTGAAACTCCAGCCTCGTGGACATTCCTGTATCCTGAGTTTGTATTTGAAGATTCTTGTATTGCAAATTATTTCTTGTCTGTTATCTTTTGGCAAGTCTTGGACAGTTTGGCAAGGCTTGTGCTTATCACAGCTAATTATTTTGTAAAAGCATTACAAGGTTTCTGTTCCTTTTGGATTGTGTTTGATTTGTTGAAAAAGGGTATGGGTCAGAACAGTTGGTAACATAACAGGGAAAATGTCTTCGGACAATGCTGGCTCCCTCGGCCTAGAAAGGGACACGAGCACCATGTCCTATAGTCAGACACGATTGGACAGGGAAAACCTTCACCTTAAAAAAAAAAAAAATTGGGTTAGGCAGAAAGGTAAAAAAAAAAAACCCAGAATAATGCATTGACAAACCGCTGACAAAATCATTGCACGGACCCCCTTTGTGCAGCCATCACAAGACAATCTCCACTTGAGGCTGGAGCTTTTATCTTTTATCTGCTCTTCATAGAGCAGATCAGGAGATCTCCTGGGCACCAGATCTAGTTTCTCGATCACTCAGGATCGAGAGCAGTTGGGTTTTGTGTGGTTCTCCTCTCTGCTTCTAGGGGTGTTTGAGCATTTGAGGGTGGGCCTCATAACAGAATTTCCACCTTGACACCTGTCGTTGGGCAAATCTGTTTAGTTGCAAGATTTGAGAGGATGGCTTCATTCGGTAGTAGGGAAACTGGAGTCCTCAAATTATAACCATTTGTTTAAAGTGACCGAAGTTACGACGACGCTGGGGAAAAAATGGCTTTACAACCGTTTTTTCATACCAATGATGCTTGCAGCACCCCCCCCCCCTTGGTCAAATCCACACGCTGGGCAAACAACATATATTTATAATGGTTGCAATGTCCCTGGAGTCACACAATCCCCTTTTGCGACCTTCTGACAAGCAAAGTCATCTAAAAGTTAGATAAATAAAAGTTAGATAAAGGTTACCTGATCCGCTGTCCTCGGAGCGGAGGGGTAGGAGTTGGTTTCCCTTTATTTTTTATTTTTTATTTTGTTTTGTTTTTTGTTTTCCCAAATTTTGTTCTATTGTAAATTACTAATTTTATTTGATTCTTTTTGTTAGTTTTTATTGTTTTTATTTTTTGTTTTAAATATGCTTTTACATTGTGTAAGCTGCCTCGATTCGCCATGGGCGAATAGGTGGCAATATAAATTAAAACAAATAAATAAAGTCAACAGGGAAGCCAGATGCACTTAACAACCGGGTGACTAACTTAAAACGGCTGCAGCGATTCACGTAAGAAACGTGGCCAGAAAAGTCATAAAATGGGGGCCCAGTTCACTTAACAACGGTGTCGCTTAGCCATAGTTGTGGTTGTAAGTCGAGGACTCCCTGGCATTCCCATTAATGCAAGTCAGGATTGAGGCTGAGCATTAAACGGTTGAAGAATGGAACGAAGGTGTTACGTTGGCTGCAACGGGCGTGATGAAAAGGGTTCGTCTTTTTTAAACAGGAGCCTGAAATTCCCGAGCCTGTAGATGAAAAGAAGAAAGACTCCAAAAAATCAAAGGCAAAGCTGCTTGAAAGGAGGTCGACCAGGCAGCGGAAGTGTATCAGCTACAGGTAAATTACTAATAAAAAGAATATTTGTAACTTAGGGTTGACCTGTGAAGTCCTTGACGCTCTCTGAACATGGCTGTTTTCTTGCAGACGTTTCATGACACAACTAGGTAACGTTATCAGCGCTAGAAAAGAGGGGAGTTTACAGGGAAGAGGAGGAGGAGGAGGAGGATTATGGTTTCCTTGTTGCTCTCTGAGCTTGGTTGTTCTCTTGCAGGCGTTTCCTGACCCAACTAGGAAACATCATCAGTGCTAGAAGGGAGTGGGCTTTATGGGTGAGGGGATGGAGGACGTCTGAAGCAATGGAGGAAAACTGTTTTCGACTCAACCTTCCTCACCTCCAAAATGTTGGGAGGTTGGAAAGTTCTCCCCTTTTTCTTTTCCCCTCTCTTATCTTGCTTTGACTTTGAAAAGAGGTTTATTTATCTGTTAAATCCAATATGCCACCCGTGCCTTTCACTCTGTTAGTTGCCTTATTATACTAGATGGCTTGTCCCTTGAAGAGAGGTTGAGGCACAGATAATGTTAACGTTGAGGCATAATGTCATGTCAGGTGGCATTACAGGTGAAATACGCGCTTTGCATTAGGATAACTTCAATTCAAAATCTCGCCAAAACTTTTAGACAGCTGATTGGTGTAGTCTAGGTGAAGGTGCTGGCCTAGAAACCAGGAGAACTGAGTTCTAGTCCTCCCTTAGGCATGAAAGCCCACTGGAAGACTTTCGGTCAATTGCATATTCATATATTCTCTCTCTCTCTCTCCCCCTGGCTCTTTCTCTCTTTTCATGTCTCTCTTTCTCTCTCTCCCCCTCCCTCCCTGCCTCTTTCTCTCTTTTCATGTCTCTCTTTCTCTCTCTCCCCCTCCCTCCCTGCCTCTTTCTCTCTTTTTGTATCTTTTTCTGTCTCTCTTTCTCTCTTTCCATTTCTCTCTCTCTCTCTCTTTCTTTGTCTCTCTGTCTCTCTCTCTCTGTCTCTTTCTCTCTCCAACCCACATCACAGATTGTTGTTGAGGGCAAAACATGACAGAAATGTTATGCACATCACCTTGAGTTGCACAAAATAAAGGCAGGATAGACATCAAATAAGTAAATATGAGCGATATCCTGTTTTCACGGAGAAGATCCTGTGGGATTACTAAACCAAGCTCCTAAGGGTTGACACGTAGTCATCCTCCTCATCCTCCTGAATTCCTATTTCTGCAGGTTTGATGAGTTTGATGAGGCCATTGATGAAGCCATAGAAGATGACATCAAGGAGGCTGATGGAGGAGGTGAGCTTTGGGGGAGGGGCTCTCCTTTGGGGGGGGAGGAGCCATGGTGGCGCAGTGGTTGGAATGCAGTATTGCAGGCTCACTGTCATCACTTCGATCCCGACCTGCTCAAGGTTTCCTTCCATCCTTCCGGAGTGGGTCAAATGAGGACCTAGATTGCTGGAGGCAATATGCTGACTCTGTAAACATCTTAGAGATAGTCTAAGTGCTATTGCGAAGGAAGGAGGGAGGGAGGGAGGAAAGAAGGAAGGAAAGAGAAATGGTGGCACAGTGGTTATAATGCAGTATTGCAGGCTGACTTTGCTCAGTGCCAAGAGTTCGATCCTTGACCGGCTCATGGTTGACTCAGCCTCCCGTCCTTCCGAGGTCGGTAAAATGAGGAGCCAGATTGTTGAGGGCAAGAGGCTGACTCTGCAAACCATTTAGAGAGGGCTGTAAAAGCACCATGAAGCGGTATATAAGTCTAAGGACTGTGGCTATTGCTATCCAGAGAAATATTTGGATGAGTTGAGCAGTAAATGGTTATTCCAAATTTGGGCACGGCAGATGCCAGATTTAGTTTGAGGGATTTAGATGGCTGAGCTGTTTCACTCCGGGGCAGGAGAATTGCATATTTGCTAAATGCAGTAATAGTGGAATTTGGCTTTTATCCTCTTCTTCCTAAGATTCTTCCCTCTTCTTTAAACATGAGTTTGCTACTTTTGCTAGTGGCTGTCCCATAATGTAATTAATCAATTAATCTCCCTCGTTGGATGGTTGGAGTAAAAGAAAGAGAGAGAAGAGGGAGGAATCGTAGGTACAGGCAGTCCTCAACTTAGCGACCATTCGAAGTTACAACGGCCCTGAAAAAAAGCGACTTCTGTTCATTTTTCACACATACGACGGCTGCAGCGTTCTGTAAGGACATTTTTGCGACCTTTGGCCGCAAAGTCAACGGGGAAGCCAGGTTCAATGAACAACCTTCTTACTCATTACACGACTGCAGCAATTCCCTTAACGACTGTGGCAAATCTCACTTAACGGCAACCGTCTTGCTTAGTGATGGAAAATTTGGGGCTCGGTTGCAAGCGTAAGTTGAGGACTTCCTGTACACGGAAATTAAATCAAACGGGCAACAACTTGTTTGCTTCTCTCCCCATTTTCTTTTCTCTTTCAAAAAATATTACTAATTTATGATACGACATACGAAGAGAATAATACAAAAGCGAATGTTGGGGAAATGAAGGAAGGAAAAAGGGGAAGTGGATAGCGGGAGAAAGTAAGGGGAAAAAGGGGAGAAAGTCACTGACTTCTGACTTCCTTGGTGCAGTAAAATAAGGCGCTAAGACCTACCCTCAACTTTTCACTTTTTCATAATAGCAGAAACGAGCCATTTCTATAAACAACAGATCGATTTAATCAGTAAAACCCAAAATCCAAGGTTTCATTTCCCCCCCCCCCCCCCCTCAAGCACGAAGTCCAGAAGTGGTTTCCAAGTATTTTTTTTTTCTTTAATGCATTTTTGCTCCCTTTGAACCACAGCGGTCAATTGAGGCACCTCTGCTATATCTCCCATCCGTTTTTGTAGCCATTCAAAAGCCAGGCGCGCCTCTTGATCCCCCAAAGTGTTGCACCCCATTGTTCTAAGGAAAGGGGGATCGTGGAAGGAGGGGAAGAGAAGGGTGTGCACGGTTCATGGTCGCCATCCAATTGACTCCCCCCTCCCCCCCCAAAAAAAACCATAGGTGTCGGGAGAGGGAAGGACATATCTAACATCACGGGGCATCGAGGGAAGGATATCTCCACCATCCTGGAGGAAGAAAGGAAGGAGACCAAGCGGCCCCCCAGAGCTGCTGCCCTCCGACGCAAGAAACGGCGGCGACTGAACGACCTGGATAGTGACAGCAACCTGGACGAAGAAGAGAGTGAGGATGAATTCAGAATCAGTGAAGGGTGAGGCATCTTATAATTTCTTCTTACATTTCCTTCCTTCCCTCCCTCCCTCCCTCTTTCATCCTTCCTCCCTCCCTCTTCCTTCCTTCCTCCCTCTTTCATCCTTCCTCTTTCATCGTTTCATCCTCCCTCCCTCTTTCTTTCTTCATTCCTCCCTCTTTCTTTCTTTCTTCCTTCATTCCTCACTCTTTCGTTCTTCCTTCCTCACTCCCTCTTTCTTTCTCCCTCCCTCTTTCTTTTCTTTCTTCCTCCCTCCCTCCCTCTTTCTTTCTTTCTTCCTCTTTCTCCCTCTTTCTTTTTTTCTTCCTTCCTCCCTCCCTCTTCCTTCCTCCCTCCCTCTTTCATCCTTCCTCCCTCCCTCCCTCTTTCATCCTTCCTTCCTCCTTCCTTCCTCCCTCCCTTTTTCATCCTTCCTCCCTCTTTCATCCTTCCTTCCTCCCTCCCTCTTTCATCCTTCCTCCCTCCCTCCCTCTTTCATCCTTCCTCCCTCCTTCCTTCCTCCCTCCCTCTTTCATCCTTCCTCCCTCTTTCATCCTCCCTCCTTCTTTCTTTCTTCATTCCTCCCTCTTTCTTCCTTCCTTCCTTCCTTCCTTCCTCACTCCCGTTCGTTCTTCCTTCCTCACTCCCTCTTTCTTTCTCCCTCCCTCTTTCTTTTCTTTCTTTTCTTTGTTTCTTCCTCCCTCCCTCCCTCTTTCTTTCTTCCTTCCTTTCTCCCTCTTTCTTTTTTTCTTCCTTCCTTCCTCCCTCCCTCTTTCTTTCTCCTTCACTCCTTCTTTCTTTCTCCCTTCCTCTTTTCTTTCTTTCTTCTTCTTTCCCCTTGTCTTTCTTTCTTTCTTTCTTTCTTTCTTTCTTTCTTTCTCTTTCTTTCTTTCACATCTGAATGTAAATCGCATGATGGTAGGGATGCTGCAACGGTTGTAAGTGTGAAAAATTGTCAAAGGTCACTTTTTTCAGTGCCCTTGTAACTTCAGATGGCCACTAAAGGAACTGTTGTTAGGCAAGAACTACCTGCACTCTCTTGGCACTAGAAGCCTCAGGTATTTTTTTTTTAAAAAAAAAGGTTGTAAGTTCCTGTTAGTGAAAAGACGCGTTACTATTTGTAACTGCTAATTCGAAGAGCGAATCGTTGCCCTCAAAGGAGGAAACCCCAAAAAGATTCAGGCTTTTTCCCACTCAAAATCCTTCACCAGCGAAATTTTATTTTTCAGTCGAAATTCCTTCATTTTAAATACCCTCCCCCGTTGATCTCTGCCCCCTCAGATCTCAGGATGAATTTGTGATATCGGACGAAAACCTAGACGAAAGTGAAGAGGATCAGCCGTCAAACGACGACAGCGACGTGGACTTCTCCAAGCGTAGGCCGAGACGGCACCACCCTCGGCCAATGAGGCAAAGCAGACGCCTCCAGAGGAAAACGATCAAGAAAAGGTACTCGGAAGATGATGAAGAGGAAGACTCCGAGGATAACATAAGTGGGGACTCCGGTAAGTCTTGGTAATTTGA